AGGACATCATAGGCAGCTGCTGAGTGACCACAGTGCTTCAGGGATGTCCTTGGTTTTCCTTGCCCTTTGTCACCACACTTGAAGGATCCCATGGTGGTAGGTGTGGGACAAACACAGTCCCAAATTTGTGACCAAGGGGAGACTGTGTTGCCTCATTCAAATGTTTAAGAATGGAGCTTGTTGCTCTGGGTCTGTGGCTGCCTGTTCTCTTTCCAGGCCCTGCAGGAATCCAGGTGTGTTCTTGTTTTCCCAGCTATAAATCTTTTGGGGGAAGAACTGTGCAGCAAGCCCCGTAGCAAACACTACAATTTGCTGTGGAGTGGCACAGAGAGAGCTCCCTGCTCTCTGTGGGGGGGTGACAGACTACAGGTCATTTCTCTGAAGGGCAAAAAACCATCTCCTCCAAGGGCTGAGGGCTGAAAATGCAGCAGAGCACCTCTAGAAGAGACTGGTGGGGTCAGAGGGGGCTGAGGAGGGAAGGTGGTGGTGGTGGTGGAGAGGGTCCAGGGGAGGGGTAGACTCTGGATTGCATCAAGATGGCATTTTAGCAGTTGTGAAAACTTTAGGGCAGAGGGAAAAAAGAGGAATGAAGTAGCCATGGGAATGCTTTTCCAAACTTTGGTGAAGAAACTGCAGAAAATGTGTGGGTGAGCAGTGAGGACACAGTCTTTACTCCAAAGTCATGTATTAGGGAGGGGGCAACCAGAGGAAGAGGAAAATGCTTGCCTTGGGGAGGATGTAACCCAGCAGGTGGCTGTGACTGCTGTGGGAGAACCAAATTGTTCCTAGCTGGAAACAAGAAGTTATTTGAGTCCCCATCTGGCCTAGGAACACATAGAGCAGGGGCACAGCCAGAACTCCAGACACTGGTTTAATCCATCATCTGCTCCCACTTGAAAAGGTTTGATTTCGTAGCCAGGTGCTTTCTGCCTTTTTAAAATAGGAACATGAAGGCAAAAGTGCTGTTTCTCTCTTTCTGTTTTGTGTTTCTCCCAGCTGTGTTCCTCATTGCAGTATCCCATCTTCTATCCCTCATGTTGGCCCATCCAGGGGTCAGAGGACAGATAAAAAGTCCTGGTCCAGGTGTCCCTGAGGTGGAGGCTGGGGAGGATTTGGGCTCCTACATTCCCTTCCCAGGGCTAGGTGAGAGATGGTGATTCTCTCTGACCTTCCTCTGCACCCATGTGTGAAACAGGTCTACCAAAAATGAAATGAAAACACAAATATTAGTAGAAATAGGCTGACTCTTGGATCCACCTTACATTAAAAGAATAAAAACAAAGAATTAACTAGTCTTCTCCTGCCAGCTTCCTGGGACATCCTCAACAAACCCAGGCTTAAACATCCCTGTGCTTGATAACGTGTCCTGGACTGCAGCAAACTGGGAAGTGCCGAGGACTGTGACAGATCAAACGTGTTTCATTAGGGACGTGTTACTTGTGCTCTCACATCTGACAGTGCGTGGAGCTCTGCTCCTCTCAGAGATGAGGAGGCTGTGCTGCAGCATGGCAATGAGCTGATTAGCCAGCTGGCAGGCAGCGGGGAGAAGGGCCTTGCCTGGGCTTCAGGAGCTGAGAAATGGCTGGCAGGAAATTTGGCTGGCAGGAGGACCTGGGGATTCCACCTCCCAGTGCAGCCCAGCAGAAGGGCAAAGTGAAGGGGACAAATCTGGGACTGGAAGGACTGCAGGGGAGCTGCAAGCCAGCATTTAGGGTGTGTGCCTTGATTCCTGGGTTCCAGCACCTTCTCTAAATGTGGGGTTAGAGGTTTGTAGGAGCCTGTTCACCTCTGTTAGAGGGCTGGTTCACCTTCATGCTCTCAAGTAGATCCACAGGTGCCGAAGCCCTTGGTGTTTTGGGTCAGTGCAAGCCATACCAGTAAAAGAGGTGCTTTCCAGCATGTGGACCAAGCAGAGCAAGGGCTGGAGATAAAACAGAGGTTGCTTCCTCAGTGCCCTCGTGCATCTGCATTTGGCACCAAAACTGGTCATGCCCACTGCAGTGCTGCCCAGATAAAGGCTTTTACTGGCAATAGTTCTAAAAACCTCTTAAATTTAACAGGGACCAGGATCTTTCTGCCATGTTTTTGAAGAGGAAGCTATAATAGCCTGGAGGACGACCCTCACCAGCCCCTGACTGCTCTCCTCCATGGTTTATGTCCCCCTGACCTTGCTGCAGCCCCTCTTACACTGGCTGATGTCTCAGATGAGACTCAGTCTGTGGAAATCTGCTGCTGATAGCAAAGCAAATAGGATGAGCCCTTCAGGAGAGCCGATGGGGGAACGAAGGCTGTTGTTGCCTAGGGCACTTAGAGAGCAATTGGTGTATTACACTGAGATCTGATTTCCTTTCTTTACTTGAATAACAGGCAGGAAACACACCTGTGTCAAAGAACTGCTTGTTCTGCTGTGAACATTCATTAGAAGTTGTCTTTCCACACACAAGCATCTTTCTTTGCCCCAGGGCCTGATATATCCAGAGGGTAAGCATTGAGGAAATAATTTCCTTTACAGAGGTAAATGAGACACTTTGATAACGATGCTGTCTTGTGTGGGTAAGTGCAAGCATGGCCATCAGCTCCTGCTCCAGCTTCCTCCTTGCCTCATTGCAATGACACTGAAACAAGAGCCACAGTGTTCCTTGGCTGCTGGGACAGTCAGGAGTCAGGGGCTACACTCCCTCATTTCCAGTTAGGTCAGGCTCCCTGGTAGTGCCTACCCAGGGCTCCAGGGCTCCAGGAGTCCCTGCTCCTGTAGTCATGAGATGGCTCAGACCCAGGGCTTGTCCAGAGGGGTGTGACTGGAGAGATGCCAGGCACAAGGAGGGAGGGAAGAGTTTGCCATCACGGTCCTGGTGCCCCATCCTGCTGCAAAGGGTCCACAGAAGATTTGGTGCTCCTACAGGTGAAGGACACTGAAAGGAGGTGGTGTTGCTCACCTCTAAGCTGCTGACTGGGACAGGCCCTTGGCCTGAGCTGCCTCCAGAGCCAAGGGAGAGAGCAGGTATAAACAGTCCAGAGCAGACCCAGGGCAGGGGAAATGCTGAGTGGTGTGGGTGATGCAGATTGCTGTCTCTCTTGCTCCCTGAAGATGGGGATGTTCCTTTAGGTGGCACAGAAGGAATGAGAAATGTGCTATTAAAAAAATTATCAAATGAATTTGTGAGTTGCTACAAAGGAACAAAACCCTGATTTCTTTGCAGTCCCAGCTGGAATGGAAGCAGAGATGCTGCTGCTTTGGAGAGACTAGTTTTCCAGTGTATTTTCCTAATCTCAACAAGGGAATGTGTATCCCTTGCTAATCACTTCTAGAAAGGCCAACTTCTGCTCAGCAATGCCACCAGTGCAGCAGCTCCCTCCATCCCATGCTCTCCTCTTCTGTCCCACAGAGCCATGACAAGAGCCATATCCAAGGATGGAGAGCCCAATGGGGCCACCACATCTCCTGAAGAGATAAAAACAGAGGAGATGGAAGAGAGAGGCCAGTGGAGGAACAAAATGGAGTTTGTGCTGTCTGTGGCTGGGGAGATCATCGGCCTGGGAAACGTGTGGAGGTTCCCCTACCTCTGCTACAAGAACGGTGGTGGTGAGTTCGCAGCACACGTGAGATGTTCTACCTCTGCAGGTGTGACAGGAGACAGGGACGTGCCTGGATCCATTTCTCCTGTGCCTCATGTGCCCTAAGGCACTCCCTGATTCGCTCCTTCAACAAGCTAGTTCCTGCCAAAACCAGGAGGAGTAAAAGCTCAGGGGTGAGTCCAGCTCCCCAGTGGGTTCCTTTCTAATCTGGAATCCTAAAAAATTGAACTCTAGTAACAACTTCAGGCTCTTGGGCATCTCAAGAAATTATTGGTCTTTGGAAAATATCAGATGCTGTGAGTGGTCAGAAAGCCAACATCAGCCTCATCCTACATATTTCCCTTTTCCTACTCCTGGTGTCAAATCCATCTTTTCCAGGCCCTTGTTGCAGAGGAGGGAAGGATGAGATAGTGCTGGTATCCAAGGTAGCCAAGGCCTGATATTCCCTAGTATATAGGTATATACTATAGGAATGTAGGTGTATACATATATACACCTATATAGTACTATATACTATATAGGTATATATAGGTATTCCCTATTCCCTGGTATTCCTCTTCCCCTGGAGCAATTCTCACAGTGATCAAACCACTGCTGGGGAAATTCATCCCCAAAAATGGTTCATTCACCTTCCCTTTGGTTTCTTTGTTCTCCATTTCTCTTGCAGTAACACTGCAATAAGATCATTACATGGTTAAAAGTTAAGATTTCTCATAACAATAAAATGAAAACGTAAGGGAATAATTGACTGTCACTAACTTTTCTTGGTGAATAAAAATCTAGCTTTGTAAAAGAAAAGGAGGAATACCAATTACATGTCAAATACAGCAATAACTTCTCTTTTGTTCCTGCTCTCTAAAAACACCTTGAAATAATGGTCTGGGATTTGCTTCACACCCCCCTTCATACTTTGAGCTTCCTTTCTCTGCAGACCATGCCCCACTGGCCCATCTTTTCCCAGGTGCCATGAACTTTCACCAGGAGCTGAGTGGTTCCACTGCATTTTTTCCCAGGGCTTCCAAATTCCTGTCCTCTGTGCTGTTGCTGGAGTTTATCCAAATTAAACAAGGGACAATAAAATACGTCCTCAAAACCAAAGAGGGGCAGGGTGAGAAATGGTTAAAGAGAAGGGAATTAAGGTTTTCTTGAACCTGAGATGATTTTTAGCAGATCCTCCAGTCTTCTCCTCCAGTATTTTGATGGGAGCCACCAAGAGCAAGTCAGATGGGCACAGGTTAGGAAACATCTAACTGGCTGGTTCTGGAGGTTCATGTGATTGAGCAGCCCATTCTGCAGTGATGCTTTGAGAGAGGAGTCATGGGTTTTGCATGGAAATTTTCTCCCTGAGCTCAGATGATATCTTTGCACAGTTTATGTCTGTGGAACCCGGTTCAGCCCTCCCTGCAATCTGTATGCTAATTAGGGGAACTGAAAAGGCTATTTCTGCTCACTTTTACTATCTATTGAATAACATTTTTCTCTTTAATTGAACTGCTCTGGAGTGTCCAAGGCTGTGATTCAGAGGGCAGCAGGGCTAGGCTTGGGAAAGGTGAGGATGGGAGGGTCCTTCCCTCACAGCTCCACACGCTGCCCCTGCAGAAAGTGTGCTGCTGCTGGAGAAGGGACTTTTCTCTCTCCAGGGCTCCAGGGAACCACAAGACTGATGCTGGACAAGTCAATGTCCTTCCCATGACACTCAAAGATATTCTCAGCACTGGAAAAGTTCTTGAAAAAAGCATTTTCCACCTATAAATGCTGCATCCCTGTCCCACCCTTACCCCCCAAACCCTCGAGACTGCTGTCACCTTTCTCCACCTTTGGATGTGCTGAAATAGTTCTACAGCTGTGAAGATGTATGTTACAGGAGCAATAGTGCCAATTTCCTGTAAAGCCACCAACTGCAACCTCAGCTATTGCTGCAGTGTCCAATTTGATCTAATTGTTCAGCAGCCTCAACTTGTTATGGACTCATAAGGAAAGAGGGTCTGTTCCTGGGGGCTGAGAATCCTTCAGTGGAACAACAAACTGAGGAGGGGCTCAGAGCTGCAGTTTCAGCTGGTGACTTCTGTGGGACAGTTCAGAGAGACAGGACAACAGAGGTGCCAGAAAAACATCATTGCTCAGAGAGCAAAATGGGGCAGCCTGTGGGACAGATTGTGCCAGAGAGCCAGCCTCCCTCCCTCTGGCCCCAGGTCTCCTGCAGCTACACAGCTGTGTTTAGGGGAAATTTGGATGTTCTTTGTTCTTGTCATTGTTGGCTTAAAAACAAGGGCAAGCGTTCCCAGTTGCTCATTGTCACTGAAGGATTTCAGTGTGGTGCCTGTGCTGGCAGGGGAGGGACAGTGGCTGAGAGAGGCACCCTCATCCTCCTTGCAAGCCCCTGAGATGCTCTCCAGGCACTGGAAAGAGAAGTGTTAGTGACCAGAAGTTTATTTTACGGAGTGGCAAGGCTGCCACAGTTGTTTTGGTGAGGAAGGAAGACACCTTTTCCTGTTTGGAGGGGAGCAGAAGTGTGAAAATCTACACTAAGGATGTGGAGAGAGAGAGAGAGGTGACAGAAGGAATGTCAGCTGTGAAAATGAGATCTCAGGAGCAGTTTTGAGCAGAGCAGTGAATGTATTTGGTGTTTTGGTTTGGCAGCATAACTGAAAAGGTGTAAAAAAGTTTCAGACATGAACAGAGCACTAAACCATTTTTTCAGGGCATTAAACGTTTTTGTTGTTATTTTTGTCTTTTCTTATGTTTATGTTGGTCATTGTTCCTGGGAAAAAGCTTTGCCCTTTCTCTCCTTCCTCTCCCATTTAGACAAGGGTTAATCTGAGGGCCATTCCAGGCTGATTTCTCTTCAGACATTTCTCTACATTTTTGCAAAGAAATTGATTTTGAAGGTAGGAGTTAAACTTCTTTATTTTGAAAATGCTGGAAAGATACTCTTCCCCTATTTCCATTCTTCTAGTGCAATCTACATTGCAAATTTGACGTGAAATATGTCTCAAGTAAATTTATATCCTGGCAAATTTATTACTTACACAGAAGTGTCACCAGCCTTGGGGTTTGTATCCTCTGGGCAAGTGGGAGTTCTGCTGTGACTCTCATGAAAGGCAGAACAAATGTGGTTATGTGAAACAAGGACTCATTTTGTTCACCCCATTCCTGCTGAAAGCCAGAATGAGGTCAGGAGCATGAAGAACTTCTTCAGCACTGTCTTTTTTTAGCTTCTTGCCTGGCTACTCCTTACCTCTGGGTTTTGGCCCGTGCCAAATGCAGAAGTGCTGCAGTGGTGCAGGACACACCATCCACCACCCCTGTGGTTTTTTTCTGAGAAATGATGGTGGTGGAGACCTTGTTTCTTTAGCAGAGGTTGCACAGTTAGCTCAGAGAAATATTTATGTTTATGTAGCTGGTTCCAGCTGTGGTCCCAGGTCTCTGGCAAGAGGTTTTAAGGACAAGGTTTTTGAAGAGGTTTCTGAGGCAGCATTTTACCCCTCTCTGCAGGAGCCTTCCTCATCCCCTACCTCATCTTCCTCTTCACCTGTGGGATCCCCCTGTTCTTCCTGGAGACGGCGCTGGGGCAGTACACGAGCCAGGGAGGGGTGACGGCCTGGAGGAAGATCTGCCCCCTCTTTGAAGGTCAGTCAAGTTACAGCATTTACTGGCAGCACTCTCTAACAATTAGTGACTCAGATCCTTGTTTTGAAATATTATTATTATTATTATTCTTTTTTTTCTTTCTCCTTTATTCTCTCTCCCCCAGCCTTGTTATTCCTCCTGCTGCCTGCTGTGTGTGCAGGGGCAGCTCCTGACCCCTCTGGCCCCGGGTGAGGGTGGGTGCTGCTGCCTGGGGCTCTGCTGGACCACGGGCTCTGCTTTGGGGAGCTCAGAGCCTGGCGCTGAGGAGAGGCAGGAGGGCCAGCAGGAGGAGGAGGAGGGAAGTGTCAGTGTACAAACACCTGTGTGTAGTCCAGGACAAACACTGAGGGGAGACTGGGGAGAGCTGTCTGCTTTATCTCGCTTTCCCTGCCCACTCCTGTGTCCAGGGCTGCTGTGGCAGCGTTTGCAGGCTGGCATCCTGCAGACTGGGGAATCACACCCTGTGTGCACTGGGTCTGACAGACCAGAGATGGGATGGGGCTGAGGTTAAGCCACAGGGATAAGAACCACGACTTCTGGAGCCCTGGGGAAGGTTGTTTAATGGGGTTAATATATTTATATTTATATTTATATTTATATTTATATTTATATTTATATTTATATTTATATTTATATTTATATTTATATTTATATTTATATTTATATTTATATTTATATTTATATCTATATTTATATCTATATATATTTATGTTTATGTTTATGTTAATATTTATACTTATATTTATATCTATATGTATATTTATATGTATATTTATATATTTATATTTATATTTATATTTATATTTATATTTATATTTATATTTATATTATATTTATATTTATAAATATAAATGTAAATATAAATGTATAAATGTATAAATATATAAATATATAAATATATAAATATATAAATATATAAATATATAAATATATAAATATGAATTTAAATATTCTATTCATATTAATATATGAATGTAATTTCCTCGATTCCCCTGTCCAGAGGAGAGCTTATCAATCATGTTTTTCAGATGGAGAAAGCTGTGCTCAGGCAGAGTGGAGCCTGGTTTGTTTGACTGATCATGGGCATGCAGAGCTATTTGAAACTCCCTGAGGAGTCTGGGGCCTCCTGTGCTCTGGCACAGACCTGGGGCTGGACAGCAGGGGCAGCTCAAAGTCACTGAAAAGCAGTTTTAAGTACACAAATTGTGCCTTTCTGGTCTGAGGTGTCAGTGGGCATTGGGCACAAGCAGGACCCAAAGCTGAGCATGGTGGGTATCACCTGTAAGAATGGGTTTTGCCTGGCTCTTCCCAGAAGTGAGAGCCTCAGCTGCATTTCTTTCCTTCAAAGCCCAGAGCTGTATTTTTCTGAAGAAGAGGCACTATGATGCTGTGCCATGGCAGCCATCAGAAATCTTTTTCAAATCAGTGTCAAGTTTTCTGGCTGTTTCACCACAGAACTGTCTCGAGTTACCCAGCAATGTTTCCTGTCTGCCTGCACAGTCACAGAACCCTTCCTCTTTCCCTTGGGTAGATCCTGCACTGTTCTCTGGAGAGTCATGCTGTTGGTGTTGCACCCCTGTTACCACAGCCTGAGCTGTCTTTGGGGTTAAGCCTGGTGTGCTGGGAGCTGGTTTCCAGTCCCATCCTCACCTCCTTTGCTTTTCTTCACAGGAATTGGATATGCCTCCCAAGTCATTGTGGGATACCTGAATATCTACTACATCATCATCCTGTCCTGGGCACTCTTCTACCTCTTCAGCTCCTTCACCTCAGTGCTGCCATGGGCCAGCTGTGGTAACTCCTGGAACTCAGGTACACAACTTCCCTTGGTCAGCTTCTAGCTTATTTCCAATTCCCAGAAATTATTTGGGTTCTCTTGAAAATATTTTTATTTCCTTTGGATAAGGAGCTCTCATGAGCCACCCTGTGATGTCACCAAAAAATAGGCAAGCACTAGAGGGGCATGGTGGGGTTTTCAAGCCAATCTAGAGCTCTCCTCATGGCAGGAGATTTTTATTAGCTCTGGTGCAAGAGTTTATCTTACAGTTCCCTTTCTCTGCCCCATTCCTGTGGAGTTAGTGGCACAGGAGCTGCCTGAGCAGTTTCCTCTGTGCACTCACATTTTGGGTCAATCAGGCCAAGCCTGAGCTGCAGGATTTTGCCAGTTCAGGTCTCCCAGTGGAGGAACCAGCATCACAGAACTCTGAGGGCACGGTTTTCCTGGTTAATCACATCCATGCAGCCTCCACAGCACTGCATTCACCAGGGATCCCATCACTTTGTGCTCATCTTCACTTAGCTCTGCCCTGCAGAGAAACCTGGCTCTGGCCTCACCCAAGGCACTTGTGCTGAGCCTGGGAAGATGGGGTAGGTGTGAGGTAATCCTCATGAATGTCCTTATCAGGACTTTCTTTACATCTTGAGCAGCTTGTTTTGCTTGGCAGCAGCTTGGTTCCCTCCCTTTTTCTTTTGCATTAGATGATTAATTTCTGCAATTAGTTAAATTTCTCTACCCTGTGGGCCCTTCACTGGAAGCTCCCTCTGCCCTTTCATCCCAGCAGAAGTACCCAGCCTTTCAAAGAGCTGATCCAATTCCTTCAGCTCCCCCAGAATGGGTTTGTTTGTAAGGAAAGCCACATATGTTCTCTGAAAAGAGAGAAGCTTCCCAGCAACAGCTGGCTTTCCTTGCTTTTCCAGTGGATTGCCTTTTGCTGGCAAAATGAGGTGCACTGGATATGTGGCATCTCCTCTGTTTTTAGTTTTTTCATGGTTTGTAACAGGGCTGGGGATGGCAAAGGAGAACGTGAAGGCTTCTGAAGTGTGTGCATGTGTGGACAGAGGATGGTGTGTGATGTGGAAAGGGAATGGGATTTTCACCGTTGCTGTCCCTGGATAATCCATGTTTTGCAGCCATCTGTTGTCAGTTTGGCAGGGAATTGTTCTCCCCTTCCCCTCTTCCCTTCCTGAAGCCCCTCTGGTGACTGCTGGATTGAGATTCATACCTGGGGAGAGCCAGAGTTTAATGAGATGTTTAGTGAGATGCAAAAGATGAATGAGATGAATAAGTAAAGCACAAGATGAAGGATCTGTGTGCTGCCAGAGTGAGGGTTAGGGTCCAGAGGGGAAGGAACATCCCTCATGGAGGAGCCCTAGAGAATTTCTCACCTCATTGGCTTCCTTTTCTTTTGGTAGATCTCTGTATGGACATTCTGAATAGATCCAGCCTGGACAACAGGACCTTGCCAGTGAATGCCACCTCCTCAATGATTGAGTTTTGGGAGTATGTGATTGCTTTCCTCTGCTCAGGCTCTCTCATCGGGAGGCTGCAGCTGCAGGAGGGGCTGGGGCCGTGTGTCTGTGGCAGTGAGGTGCCAGAGCCGAGCACAGGGAGCTCTGAGGAGATGGGCACAGAGCCCAGGCAGCTGCTGGTGTGCTGCCCAGGGAGCTCATGTGCACCTCGAGGGTGTGTTCCCCTCCTGGCACCTGCCTGGGCGAGCGTGGCCACCGAGAGAGGCAGCGAGGGCAGGCGAGGGCTTGCTGCTAGCAGGGCTGCGTGTGCTGGGTGTCACAGCCTGGCAGGCACCCGTCAGAGGCCAGGGCAGTCCTCCACAGGGAAACACAGAGGGGAAAACTGATTTTTACCTTGCTCTGACCCAGTCCTGCTTGCTGTCTGAGGGAAGGGATCCATCAGGCTGCTCAGGATCTTCCCTGGAGGGCAGAGATCTGAGATGTGTGAACCAGATGCCAGAGAAGAATTTGGGGAAGGTGGAGAACTTTGAGGAATTTGGGGCTGGAGGCACTAAAACACAGTCTGAGTGAGGGGTCTTGCAGCAAGCCAGACAATGTCCCAGACAGGGTCATCAGTGCAGCCTGGGGAGGTTGAAATGACCTCCCACCCCACATGCTACTGAGAAAAATCTTATAAAGAACAGGGGTGTCAAGGACTCAGCTTCAACACTTGGGCTTGGGACTTTTCCCCATTTCTGTCTCCTGAGGTAGCTTTGAAAGGGCTGACTTTGTCTGTGGCAGCCACCACAGGGCACACAGAGATGGGATGTGCCCGTGGTTGTGTGAAGAGCCTGCACGCTGCTGGGCCCTCTCCTGGCCTGCTCCTCACGCGTGCGAGGAGCACATCCAGTGAGAGCTGAGACCCCTCTGAACAGCTGGCTGGCTTTTCTGCAGGGACAGCAGGGCACACTGAGGTTTTGAGCAGAATGTGCAGAGTTGTAAGTGTGGGTTTGGGCTCTGGGAGCTGCATGGGGTGCGGTGCTGAGCTCCTGAGTGGCCTGCCCTCATGGTGGTGAGTCTGCAAGGAAGGAGGCTGAGGAAGGCATGGGAATCATAATTTATGCTTACATATGTATGTATGTATGTTTGTAGCATGTGGGGAGGAAGAGTGGTGGCCATGGGCTGACAGTGGCTTTGGGGGCCTGCTTTGGATTGAGCTGGCTCTGCTGGGGAGCTGCCAGGCTCAGGGGGCAATGGGGAGCAGGGGTTGGGTTTGTGGGGTCTGATGGGCATGGCACCATGGGTTTGGAGAGTGGGAGGGCTACAGGACACGGCAGAGCAGAGATGAGTGCAGAGGGGAGCTTTAAGCAGAGCTGGGACGATTTGCATGGCTGGGAGCCCTGGCAGATGTGCCAGGACAGGCTGCTGAGTCTTGGATGGGCACTGTGGGACAGGTCTGTTTGGGTGAGTGGGTCTGGGGTGTTAATGCTTCTCTCCCTGTCCCTGGACACTTTAAACCGGCAGGAGAAGAGTCCTGGGGCTCACGGATGGCATTGACAAGCTGGGCACTGTGCGCTGGGAGCTGGCTCTGTGTCTCCTGCTGGCCTGGATCATCTGCTACTTCTGCATCTGGAAAGGGGTCAAGTCCACGGGAAAAGTAGGAATGGGGATTATCCTCCCAGCCCATAAGCCTCCTTGTACCCATCTTACATTTCTTCCCAGTCTCTTTTTCTTCTTCGTGGAGCTGAGGCAGGAGGCACCAAAGTGAAACCCAGGACCTGTTGAGGCCGTGCTGATACACACAGTTGTGTTTGAACCCTAAGGGGAAGAATAAATGAGTAGCTCCAGGGAGGGGAGAATGGGAAAAGAGCTGGGAACCGAGTCTTGAGTCCCATTTTAACTTGCAGATACCCACAGTGGCTGATGGATTCTCCCCAGGTGCCACTGGGAATCATCCACTCACCAGTGTGTTGTCCTGCTGTGGCTTGAGGGTGTTTTCAACAAGATCCTCTGCAGTGGCAGACTTCCCATCCCTGGCAATGATTAAACATTTGAGCAAAACAGACAAGCTGCTGCCTGTAACCAGCTCAGAGCATAGATAATGAGTCTCTCCTGCTTCTTTATCCTGCAAAACACTTGGGGGGGGAGAAGTGTCCTAGTCCTCTCCTCTGTGCTCTTTCAGGTTTGGGGTCTGTTGGTCACTTTCTGCATTTTGCTGATGAGACTGGAGCCAATGCTTCCTCCTGAAGTTCATCCTGCAGAGCAGATGGACTGGTTCTCCTTTTGGAGTGAATGAGTGTTTGATGCCTTGGGCTGGGAGTTAGGGACACTTCCATGGCCTTGGCTTGCTCAGGACCTCTTTCTTCCCTGGAGCTCCAATGAGATGGGTGGATCATTAATGATGGTTGATGGTTAATGATTAGTCTTGTGGGTGTCCCAAAGGGAGGGAACCAATTTCAGCAAGAGATTTCTTCTTTCAAATCACCGTCTCCACTCTTCACAAGTGTTGCCTTTCACAGCTGACTCCTGTGTTGCAGTGTTAATCCCATCTGCTCACTAAGAACTGCACTGGACACCCATTAACAGCTTCTTCCCTGACTAGATTTCCCCCAGTTTTTGCTGATGGCTGGTTCTTGCTGGTGCTGACTTATTGTCCCATTTCTGAAGGAAGGAGAGCCAGACTCACCTTTATGGGGAGAGGGGATGGATGATCTGCACTGTAAACCTTGAGTTTCTGATGCCCCCTAATGCGAACACTGCAGTGCCATTGTCACAAGAGGTTGTGTCAGAGGCTGTGTGATCTGCAGGGAAGAACATTTAAACCCCCTGAGGGTCTCTTCAGCTCTCAGCCTTCTCCACTGAGTTTCTCCTTTGCCTGGTGCTTCCCCAGCATGCAGAACTTACCTGCACAAGGAGAAAGCTAAAGTGGTTCAGTCAGGCTGATTTAGCTGACTTGGCCTGGCAAAACCAGCCCAGAAAGTGAGAGAAAGCAGTGGCTACATATAGAAAATGGAATGGTCGTCCTGAGACTACAGAAGATTTAAAAATCACAGTTTTTAGGGTAAATTGGCTATTTACCAGCCAGGTGTTATGGACATGGTGCAACAGTAAGAGAGGGGTTTTCTGTCCCCAAATATGCTGCAGGTCAAACAGGCCAGTTGTCTTCTCTGCAGGCAGTAATTTTGGGTATTACAGGGGCACTGTCAAAAAATTCAGCTGCTTCCCTCTTTTTCTTTGCTAGCAACATACTAAGACAAGCATTAGGGAAGAGCCAAGGATTCTGAGTAGGTGCATAACTTTGTTCAACAGCCCCAGATTAAACAGGAGGGTGTGCTTGCCTGAGAGGCTGCTCTGATCACATAACCCTGCCAGATCCTTCTGTTTCTGCTTCGTGATTTAAGGAATCCAAATTTAAAGAAAGCACGGTGACCTCGGGACAATAATTTCAAATAACTCCATAAAGACTCTTTCTCTTTTAAAAGCCTTTTTCTTTTATTCATTTTGCCCAATGTTTCTCTTCCTTATGCATTCAGCTGCTGCACATAAATGTTCCTCAGAAGTGATTTCTGAAGGTAGATTTTAATACTTGTGCCCATTCTCATTCAATCAGGGAACAGCAGAAGTACCATGTACTGTGACTTATTTGGCCAATTATCACCAAGCACAAAAAATTGTCATTTCAGGCCCATCACTATGAATTCATGGAGTAAACAACCCTCCACATTACTTGGATTAATTTTAGTAATGAATAAATATTAGGAAGTTGCCACTTGCTCACAAATATTTTGCAAATAGAAAAAAAGAATATGTTATATTAAAGAAATGGTTTAGAGATGATTAATTCTACTGTAATATTTATTTATATCAGACACAAAAAGAAGTAAAAATAGGTATTACAAAAATAACAGTCTACGTTTTCTTTAAAGGCTTTGAGCTGCCCCCAGTTTTTTTTTTTACCTGTGAGCTCAGAGGCATTGAAGGGATGAGAGTGACACATCTGCAGCACTTCTGGAAATGAGACCCCTCATAGGTGTCTCAAATTGGACAGCAAAAGTTGGTGTTTAATTTGGAAAGCTCTTGCTGTGCATAGGACCATTTTAATACCTCATTAAAACCCAGTGACAGGAAGAGATCTGGGTTTGCTCTGCAGCTCTAGAAAGATGAAGGGAACAGCTGGAGAGCAGGGAAAGTACACTGACTGGAAGGAGAAAACAAAGCAGAGCAACCAGTGGCAGAGTCTTGGATGAAGAGCAGAATGCAGATGAATTAAATCACCAGTGAGATGGAACCTTGATGACTTTCTTTCCCACCCCTCTTCTGTGTCAGCAGCAGGCTCGGGGAGGTTTGCTGGGTGGGGGCTGCAGATGGGATGGGGAGAGGTGATGCCTATCCCCCTCCCTGCTCTCTCCTCTGTTTCCCTGCCCCTGCAGGTCGTTTACTTCACTGCCACCTTCCCCTATGTGATGCTCCTCATCCTGCTGGTTCGAGGGGTGATGCTGCCAGGGGCTGCTGAGGGAATCATCTTCTACCTGAAGCCTGACATCTCCAGGCTGACAGATCCACAGGTGAGGGGGGTGTCAGGCAAATGCTGGCCACAAGAACGTTCCCAGTGCCCTGGCCTTTGGATCTGAGCATCTGCCTGTCATCTGTGGAAAGAGGTCAGGGAAGCAGGGCCCTTAAAACTTCTGGGAGGGGTCTAGTCCCCCTACACAGCTCATCCTGTTTGCTCATGGTCTGCAGAATGTGGGTATGCTAGGTCATTTCCACTCAAGGGCTCAGCAAAACCAGAAGAGTATATAGAATATTTAGCATGTAATATATTATATCAGAAGAGTATATAGAATATTTAGCAGATAGTTTTTCTGGCTGTTAAATGCAGATAATTAAGGGAGGGGTTATATAATCTATCACTTCTAATTATTTTTTTTGTAAGCTAAGATAATTTTTTATTTTTGTAACATAACATAGCACAACACAACACAACACAACATAACATAACATAACACAACACAACACAACACAACACAACACAACACAACACAACATAACACAACATAACATAACATAACATAGCATAACATAACATAACATAACATAACATAACATAACATAACATAACATAACATAACACAACATAACATAACATAACACAACATAACATAACATAACATAACATAACATAACATAACATAATATAACATACACATACCATGGGCTGTGGCCAGCTGGGTTCCCTTCACTTGCCCTGGGGGCTGGTCCCACCTGCCTAGGGCAGGGGCTGGCCAAAGGGTCAATCCCTGCTACCAGTTGTTGGAGCTCATGGAAACCCTCCGTGAGATCCTGCTGCTGAGTGGAGGCAGAAGGCAGGGCTTTGGTTCATGTGGGACGTGTGTCCGTGCCTGAGGGCTCCTGTGCATGCCATGGTGACAAACCAGTGGGAACTGAGGCAGCACTGCCTGTGCTGGGGTTCTTTGGAGGCCACCAAATTCCAGCTGCCTGGATGTTTGCAGCTGGGGGCTGCTTAGAGGAAAAAGAGAATGAGTGGGGAACCTGGAGACCATCAGAGAGGTGGGCTGTTTCCCTGCCTGCCCGAAACTCCCAGCTCAGGGCTTTCCCTGGGGCTGTGAGAGCAGAGCTGCAGCTCAGCCCACAGTTCACTCTCCACAGAGGACAGGGCTGGGGCAGTGGTGAGAAACCACTCTCAGCTTTTCCCGTGGGATGCCAGAGCAAAGGGGAGCCCTGTGTGTGACACCCCCCTGCCTGCAGCCTCTCATCTCAGCAACTTGCTGCCCTCACTGTGGCCTCAGAGAGGTGGGAAGACAAATCTGGGAGCAGGGAAGGGAGTGCACGGATTGTTGATCACACTCTCGTTTGGGGTGACTCAGCAGTGGCTCTGATTAATCATCTGGGCCATGCAGGGACCACAGACATCTCTAGTGAGAGCTTCAGCCGGAGCCAAGCTATCAGGGATGCCATCCCTACCCTGGGTGCAAAGGTGTGGGATGGAGAAATGGTGTCACCTTGGGTGGGATGTGAAAATGTGGTCTCCTCTAGAGCCTTTTCCTAAAGGGCTTCCAGCCCTATAGCTCAGGTTCTCCAGACAGGGACCCCAGACTCTCCACTCACTGTAGATCCCCTTTCTGTCTCACAGGGTTTGTTCTCCATGACTGGAGGAGTTCCTGTTGACAGGGCACAGCCATTTGTTTATTTTGTTGCCAGGTCTGGAGACCACTGACCTTCTCTGTTCCAGGTCTGGATGGATGCAGGCACTCAAATCCTCTTCTCTTATGCCATCTGCGAGGGGTGCCTGACAGCTCTGGGCAGCTACAACAAGTACACCAACAACTGTTACAGGTAGGAAGGGCTCCTCATTTCCTTCTGGAAATGTTCTCACACAGCACAGAGCTGCATCAGGGGCAGGCTCTGTCCCTGGGGGACCTTGGGTGGTGCTGCTGTGACCAAGGAGCTGCTCAGGGTGCAGAAGCCGCAGAGCACTCAGCACAGGCACCGAGAGTGGCTGAGGGAAGAGAGGAGTCCAGAAAATGGCTTTAACAGTGCTCTCCTGCATGAGTCAGTGTGGAAAGAAGAGTCTGGAGGAGGAATGGAAATGGAGAGTGTCTCCAGCCACTGCAGACAGCACAGACTCTGTTGTCAGTCCGTGGGCAGGGTGACACAGCCAGCTCTGCCATCACTTGCTGGGCAGGGGAGGTGGCACAAAGGTGATGCTGGGCCCTGTCTGCAGTGCTTTACTTCCATCAGACTAATGTACTGCCAGTGGCCTTGTGATCCTTGCAAGGAGATGAATCCAGTCTGTCTGGCCTTCTCCTTGCCCTTGGATTACAGATCTGTTTTATCCATGGCCTGACCTGGAGCTCATCAGGACCATTTTTGACACCCTCCAGAGAGAAACAGGGGCTTTGCTATTCTTTCACATATTGCTCCAGCACAGATGCTAAAATGGAATTGTGCTTGGGAGACATCAATCATCCCTCCTTCTGCTCTCCAGCAGGTGCTGCCATGGCTGCTGGTTGGGCACTCAATACTTTCTCCTGGCTCTCCCAAAATATTTCAGTCACCAGTGAAGTGGTGTGCGGACACCTTCCCCTTATTCCTTAGGAACCTTGTGCTGGCAGCTTAGTCCTGGGTGTCCCAAAAGTGTCCACAATGCCTGCCCAGAGCAGCTGATGCTGTGGGGCAGCTCTGGCAGCTGCCCAGGCAGGATCCAGGGGTTTCCAGCCCAGCCAGCTCAGAGTGGTGCCCAATTTTCACAAGGACCAAGGGCACAGAAGTTTCAGGACAAGTAGCATAGCACATGCCAGCCCCCATCTGAGCACAGAGTGTAGACACAGCCCTTGTCAGTGAGGATTTTTATTATCCCATTGCCCTTGTTTTACTAGACCTGCTGAACCTGTATGTCTTCATGCTTTTAGATACTCCTCTTTATTGACTATGTTTCTTTCTGCAACATTTTTCCTTTTCTAATTTTCTGTTTTCTTCATTTTCTCTGTTGTTTTTCCTATTCTCTGGACTCCTGACATGTTTTTATTGCTATGTGCTATGTGGTTGTGCCCCATTCCCCCACTGCTGTGCCATGTGTAACCCTGTGACTCTGCTCTGAGCTTTTCACTTCTGAGGGGCTCAAGAACAGCGTTGCTGTTTTGTGCTCGTGCTGTCCTGCTAGGGAAGCTGAGCACAGGCATGATCCCAAGTGGATCCATTCTGCAGCAGGAAACCCCCATTTCTGTCTGCTCTCCTTCCTGCAGGGACTGCATCCTGCTCTGCTCCCTGAACAGTGCTACCAGCTTTGTTGCTGGCTTTGCCATTTTCTCTGTGCTGGGCTTCATGGCTCGAGAGCAGGGCGTTCCTATTTCACAAGTGGCTGAATCAGGTGAGTTTTTCTGGGAGGCCTCAGAGCCAAGGGAAAACAAAGAGCCTGAAGGGGAGGGCACTCTTCAGAGGTGACACCCAAGGTGTTCTCTACATCCTCCATTGCTATGGGTGTCTGCAGAGAGGTCTGCAGGACCGGTACCCCTCAACACAGCTTTCAGCTGTGGGTGGGCAGCTGTGGCAATAGGAGCTTTGAAGAGGTGTGTGAGCCTGCTGTGTGCTGCAGGTGCTGCTGTGGGGGCACACACGCTCATCCTGTGCTCTCCTGGCAGGTCCTGGGCTGGCTTTCATAGCATACCCAACAGCAGTAACAATGATGCCCGTGTCTCAGCTCTGGTCCTGCCTCTTCTTCCTCATGCTGATCTTCCTGGGACTGGACAGCCAGGTACAACAAAGCCCCCTCCTCATGCAACATGCAGGAGCCTGTCCCCAGCCGAGCATTCCCAGGGGCATTGGAAGGGATAAGCTGGCTCTGTGCTTTGCTGTACCTTCAGTAGGTTTCTGTACATTGTATGCAGCACTTTCACTCTGTGGGAGCCCAGAGCCGGGGCCAGTGGCAGGCCAGAGCTTATGTGGGCTGGCATCTCTGCTGGCATCTTCTCCCTGTGTGCATGTGAGGATGTCCCAGCTACATCCCCCAAAACTGTGCACCCTGCAGAGCGAGGCCCAGCACAGGGCAGGGCAGTCTGGGACAGGGAATTGGGCCATTTTCTCCCAGCTGCATCCCACCAGAGCAATCCCTGTGTCCTCACTGGTGTGCCCTGTCTGACATCCCAAATCCCTGTTATGGCAGCAGCAAACCCTGCAGGGTGCAGCTCTGCTGCTGGCACGAGGGGAGCAGGGGGTGTCCTGCATGTCCAGCAGGAGGGTGTTCTGCTCAGGCTCAGCTCTGTCATACCTCAGCCCTTGTGAGGTATAATAATATATAATCAGGCCTTTTTCCTCTGTTTCTGCTGGCCTTTGGTGGGGGCAAGGCAGATGAAAAGAAAAAATGAAAAAATAAGGATTTGGGTGGCAGGAGGACAGAAAGAACGGTGAGGGGAAGTGCGTGCTTGGGGAAGGAGAGACGCTGATTTCTCTGACTTGTTTTCTTCTGCAGTTTGTCTGTGTGGAAAGCCTGGTGACAGCTATTATTGACATGTTCCCAGGAGTGTTTCGGAAGAAGGGGCGCCGGGAGCTGCTGATCCTGGCCATTGCTGTCATGTGCTACCTGCTGGGCTTACTGCTGGTCACCGAGGTGAGGCAGGGGGAGCTGGGCTGTGCAGCACCAAACCCCTGCTGCACAGCTCTGGGCAGGGACAGCCTGTCCTCAGTGCTGTTAATTGTGTCTCATTCCCAGAGCGTGAGCTGCTGTCTCTCACAGCTCTGACCCCGTGGGGCTCTGGGGCATCCCCGAGCCCTGCCCTGGTCCCACAGCCCAGAGAGGCTGCCTGACACTCAGCTTTGTGCAAATACCAGACCTGGCAGCTAAAACAAGCCGAGCTGTTTGAAAACAAGCTCCTCCAAGGGCAGTGATCGTTTGCTGGCTGCTTTCCACACAGAGCAGAGCAGCAGGAGAGGAGCCTGGGGGTGATGGCTGTGCCAAAACCCTGCTGGAGCCGTGGGAAGCCTGTGATGCCAGCAGCAGCAGCAGCAGCAGAGCTGTGCTGGTGTTTGCCCTGCATCTCTTCCTGCGTGGGGCTGGGCCCTGTGGGTACCACAAGTTTGGCTGGGGGTCTTGGCACTCCTGTGCTGCCTCCAGCAGCTCTGCAGTGACAGCTCACTCCTGTCAGACCCCTGAGGCACAGATGGATCCTGGATCCCGGCTGAGGACCTGCTGAGGGCAGCACCTATTGTAATCAATTTGAGTGGCATTGTGTCTAGAGCCCTTCAGCATTATCTGAAAGAATCTCCTTGGCCTGGAGATTCTCCTTCTCTTGGAGAAGTCAAACCATCCACGGGCCTGCACAGGCAGCTGATGGCAGCTCTGCAGGGCTCAGCTTGGAGTCAGAAGCAGCAGGAAAGCCTCTGCCCTTGCAGAGCTTGGAACTCGTGCAGAATGCAAGGTTGGATGAAGGTAAAACGAGGTGTCTGAATATCCTTGCTCAGGATCACGATTCTGTGGGTGCAAAGTTCCACACTGCTACATGCTGTTTCAAAAATGCTTCTGGGAACTTCCTCATTGTTTTAAAATAACCAAAAAAACAGCACCTCCTGCTCTTATGCACATAGGGGCCAGCCTAGCCCAGCAGCATCATAAAACAGGCGTGAAAAACTCTCCTACCATCAGGCTTGACTGTGTTTTTGGAACAGAGTGAGGGCAGCCCCAAGAGAAGGCTCATCTCCCACCTGCTCCTGGTTCAGTGTTCCTGCTGTGTTGTTCTGCTTGCCCCACTCATTTTTCCCTGGCATGGAAAAGTCTTGTCATTGTCTTCTCTACCTCTTCAACAGGGTGGCATGTACATCTTCCAGCTCTTTGACTACTATGCTGCCAGTGGCACATGCCTGCTCTTTGTGGCTGTTTTTGAAGTCATCTGTATAGGATGGGTGTATGGTAAGTGCAGGACAAAAATCTGGATAATTCTTTATCAAGGCAGGAATGGGGAGTTGAGCAATGAGAGTGGATAGAAAAGACCCTCAGGGGGCAATGAAGTGCTGTAATTATGTTCTTTCTTGTCTAGTTTTCACTGTGTTTTCTTGCAACATTTCTTAATTGCTCCACATTTAGACTGGGAATGTTTGTTCCGTCTCTGTGGGTGCCTCATACTGAACTACCTTGCTGTTCTTCCCATCTGCCCTTTGAATCAGAAAATCAGCTACAGAGGAGTGACTGCTGTTCTTTGGTGTCTGTCCCTGTCTGCTTACACTGTGCATTTAGCCTAGTCCTGCCACTTAATTTAACACGAAATTCTGGGATGCAAACTTGCTTTGTGTTACTTCTGCAATGATTCCTGCTTCCTATTTACCCAGGCTATGATGGCACTCAGAAAATAAATAGGAGGGGCTGCTTTGGCTCTCACTGAAGTCTGTAACTAAACTGCCCAGGAGCAGGATAAAACTGAGCTTCATGAGCTATCAGGAGGAAACCACCTGCATTTTAATCTGTGCAGTAAGAAGAGTCTCCTCTGAGATCCTATGGGAGATCTCCTCCTGACCACAAAGGCTTTGGTTCTTCCCTCTGAAGCTTGTGTTAAGGCTGATGGTTTTTGGGCAAAGCATCTTGTGTGTGATGCAGAGCAGCTGCTCCCTCTCTTGGCTTGATGGATACTCCATGGAGCCCCACACGTGTAAGGATTGTGGCCAGCTTAGACCAGACCTCACCATCCCACACTCACACATCTGCTGGTCCCAGCTACTGCAGGCAGCACTGCCATCAGAACCTCAGGGAAAGATTGCAAACAATCTTTTGGGGTTGTTTGTTGGGTCTCAGTGTCAGGAGTGGATGCTCATAAAGGAATGCAATATAAGAAAACTCAGGAGTGATACTTTCTGTCAATGTTCTTCCAGCTTTTCACAAATTATAACAGAACCATAGAACAGTTTGGAAGAAACCTTTAAAGATCATCTAGTCCACCCTCTTGGCCACTTTCCACTTGACCAGGTTGCTCAAAGCCCTGTCTAACCTGGCCCTGAACATTTGCAATGGTAGTGTATTCACAGCCTCTCTGGGCAGCCACTTCCATTGTCTCAGGATCTCCAGAGTCAAAAATTCCTTCCCTGTATCCACTCAAAACCTCTCTTTCAATTGACAACTGCCAGCCTTTGTCATGTCACTACAAGCCCCCTTTATATACTCAAAGGCTGCAACAAGGTCTCCCTGGAGCTTTTTATTTACCAGGCTGGACAGCCCAAACTCTCTCATTCTGTCCTCAAAGGACCCGTGCTTCGGTCCTCTCTCGGTTTTCATGGTCCTTCTCTGGGCCTCCATGTCTTCCTTGTTCTGGGGGTCCAGAACCAGATGAAATACTCAGCTTGTTGCCCAGGAATTTCCAGTCCCAGAAGTGAAATCTATTTATTTCTCTTCTGTTATTTTTTTCCAGTTGACTTGGCAAAGCATTTGTTACCCACAAAATGCTGCAGCAAGGAGTTCCATGGTTTTCTCAGGTGTTGTGTGAGGAGTCAGTCTCTTTTCCTTGTTCTGAGTCTGCCACCTGCCAGCTCCATCTGGTGCCCCCTTTGCCTTGTTGGGGCAGTCATTCCCTGTGTGCTCCTTTTGGTGTTTACACTTTCATAGGGGTTGCACTGGCTGCAGTGCAGTTGCTGATGAAGGCCTTACCAGTTTCTCCAAACACTTTGTGTATAGCAGGAGCCAACTGCTGCTTTGGATAAACTCCTCTCTTGCTGAAAGGATAACCAGTCCAGCTGCGTGGTCTTGGGCTCCAGGGAATGCAAGAGAAGCAGATCCTTAAGAGAGATTTATTTTAGAAAGATGTCCTTCAAGGGAAGCTCACCTGACAGCTTGCAGTAACTGACCCTGGCCAGGTTTTCATTTTGAGTCACCTTCTGCCCAGTCCTTTTGGGGTTTAAAGGGACGTGGAGATCCCCATCCATCTGTGACTGGATGGGGATCACCATTTTAGGTTAATTCACTAAACTGAATTATGTTTTCATGTTTAATGCCATTTTTACAGTCACACAGGCAATCACAGGCAATGAGTAACAGGAGAGGTGATGCTGCCCCAGCAGCCTCCAAGGGAGATGGAGTAGCTGGGGACAGAGAAAAGGCCTTTTTTCTCACCACCATGGGTTCATTTGTGCCACTCCACACTGTGTGATTTTACCCTCCTGATGTCCTGCTTTGCATCCATTGGGATGATTCTGGTCCAAAACATAACCAGAGGGCCGAGGTGAGGCATTACAGTGGGGGGAAAAGTGACTAGTGCTGCTTAAAGGGTTTTTATCCCCAGGCTTGGAATTGGCAGGGCTGAGCCTCTTGCTTACACTGTGAAGAATTACACCAGCTCTCCCAACACAAATAAGTGTTCTGAGTTTCCCCTCTCCCAGCACATTTGCCAGCCACCCACCACTTGGCAGCTTCCCCCTGCAGCCAGGCACTGCTCTCCCAGGGACCCGAGGCTTTCCTCCTGCTGCTCCCTGCCTGTGGAAGGATCCACAGCATCGCTGGTCGTGTTCCCTGGAGGAGGTGCTGGGGGGCTCTGGTGTCCCCTGCCTCTTCTCCGCTCCCCCTTCCCTGTGGGACAGGCAGCCCTTCTGTAAGCAGGGCTGTGGGCACTGACATTCCCTCCATGGTGCCCCCCAAAGGTGCTGCAGAGGGCATTTCCCAGGCAGGCACAGCATGCACATTATCATCAGCTGTTCCAGGAGAAAGCAAGGAACTGTCAAACTCACTGGTTTTTGAACATGGTCAAAGTCAAATGAAATCTTTGTCCCTTCTAATTTGGGTCTCATTAGCTGTTTTTACAAGCTGTGCCAAATGAGAAGGGCTGTGTAAGAACAGGAGATAAGGATGTGAGCAAACCTGCAGTTAGGTTCATGTGAAGTTTATTCCTGTGAGTTTACATGGCTAAATGATTTGCCAGAGGAGCACACAGCCACGTTGAAGGTATATGGGGTTGATCAGCACGAGGGAAGTGGTGCCAGCATTCATGGTTAACTGTCCAGTGACTGCATCCCGTTCTTCCTTGTCCTGGAATATTGGAGATAAAAGCAAACATCTTTGTTCATTCCAGCCAAAAATCTCTTTGGGGAAGTTTTTTACAGTTTTGTCTGCAGGAGCTTTATCTAATCCTTCTGATGTGCTGGGAAGGAAAGGCACATTACTCCAGAGTGTCCTCCAGTTTTTAATTTGCTCAAAAAGCCAGTGTTGAGTGGTTAAATTGATGACTTCTTAAGCTTGATTACTTTTTCATCTGCCTGTGAGATGTAGAATATATAAAACCTCCTGTTGATATACCCTCTGAGGATGATCATGTCAGTCCCCATCACATCCCAGTGTCATCACACCACCCACTCCTGCCACAGTGGCCATGGAAATTCAGGACCTGGCAGTTGTCCTGGACAAGGCCAGGTGGAGGCACATCATAATTAACAAAATAAGTGGTGGGGGATTTTTCTTGTTGGAGGATGGATGCGCGTGTGTTCTTCTTTTTGTCTGGCATTTTTGTATTTCTTTAATTGTTATGTCTCTGACTAGATCCTACATCTAGTCAAATTGGCAGGGAAACTGCATCTGCCATGAAGTTGTATCATGAATTAGTTTATCTGTCATGTATCTGCCATGACAGTGGGTTTCTGTGGAAGGCACTGTGCTGTGCTCATATTCTAAACTCCAATTCACATGATCCATATCCCTTTTTTCTTTTTTTCACCCTGTGGAAGAGTTTGGCTTTCTGGCAAAATTAATTTCATATACCATCTCCTTTCATCCCCAATGTATTTTCAGAAGCACTATCTGGAGCCTCATGGTATTTACAGCTTGGAAGTTCTGTGCTGTAGGCTGGGCTCCCACACAAGGCTGCACGTCCCCTGATACACCACAGCTTGTTGTCTTTGCTTGAGGCCACTTGTTAACTTGCCAACTCTGCACCAAGAGGTGTTCAAAGAACCATCCTCCCCCTTACCCCCTCCCCACAAATACTTCAAAAAGCTGGGTTTAAAAGAGATTTTCTGCAAGCATTAGTCATGGGATATAGAAAATAATGCGAAGAATTACAAAAAAAAAAAAAAAAAAGAGCATACAGAATGTGCTTTTGTAGAATTACTATATTTAAGGGAAACATAATATGAGAGATTTTAATTCTGAGACATAAAACCCACAAACCAAAATAAAATTCACCAAACCCCAAGCACTCACAAGTGTGGCCAGTTCTTCAGGCACACATTTTGCCTAGTCCAGCATATAAAGAAACAAAGTTTTATCACATCAGGAAATGGAACTGTGGCCTGAGCATGAGTTCACAGATGGATGAACATCCCCAAGAGCAGAATCCTTCTTTAACAGCTAAGCACCAAGATAAAGCTTTAATAAGGCAAATACGGTATTACTTCATCCCAGAGGTGCTTAAGTGGTAGCTCTTTTTCTGGACAGACTAGCTCAATTTTTTTGTCTGATATTGTTGTCTTATTTTGCCTGAGGCAGTCTGGTATCTCTGGATAGTTTTGGTTGGAAAGGTGCTAGGGCACCTTATAATGACTTTTTGATTTTTCTTCATTTTACATCTCCTTCTGGCCAACATGAGGCTCCTGATACTTGAAGACACACCAGAGTTTATTGCAAGGTCTGCTGAAATCCATCTGCATTTTGTTGTCTCCTCCGTGCCATTGCATGAGTTTGCTCTCCGTGCTTTGGGTTGGGAAGAGTCAATAGTTGGAGTCTGGCTGGTGGCAGGACTTGTAGGTGCTTTCCTGAAGTAAACCCCATTCCAGGGCACCACAAGGTTTAGGGGGGTCCCACACACTGTGAACAAAACAACCCAGTAAGTGAAACTAGTGAGAAGGGAAGGAGGAGATCAGAGCCCACCAGACACTCACTGGACAGTGCAGCAGCGCCTGCAGATGGAAGCTTTGGTTTTCAGAAGAGTTTCAATTGCCAGGTTTTCTGAGTTTATGATAAAATATTCTGTGGAAGACAGGCTCTTGAGATGACAGGGGTCCTGCCCAACTCAGAGGTGATTCTTGACATGACTTCCCTGGCATACCAATGTTTATTTACAAAGAGAAGGTTTTGTTAGGTGTTCCCCACTCACACAATCCCTTATGCTTCACCTGCAAGAGCTTTCCCTGGCTGCTCTGCCAAGCAGGCACCTCTCTCTTCCCTGTGCATGGCTGCATCCTCTCACTCTCAGCTGCTGAGGGACTGTGCTTCTCTTCAGTGTCAATCTTTCTGACACTTATGGATGAACTCCAACCCCTCCATCTCTATCTAGCCACTGATTTGCAGTGCCAGACAGCCCCATCACCTGCTGCTCTGTTGTCAGGATAGCCACGTTTTCAGCAGGAGCAAACACCAAGGATAAAGATGGTTTGGGATCTGATGTGAATAGGGGTTGAAGGAAACAAAAGCAATCTGACCTGTGGCTTTGTGCTGGTTGGTGGCCAAGGTGCCGACCGCTTCTACGACAACATTGAGGACATGATTGGCTTCCGGCCGTGGCCCTTGATCAAGATCTGCTGGCTGGTGTTCACCCCAGGGCTGTGCTTGGTAAGTGCAATTATGACATCATGACACGTCACTCTGGGTCTCCAAATTCTCAGTAGAAAAGGCTGATTTATCTCCAAGGTGCTGCTGTAAAGTTTTCAAACTGCTGTGGAGAGGTAGAAGCTTGTCCATAGCTGAGGTAGCTATTTATTTCCTTTTTAAAGCTTTATGTTTTGCCTGGAAAATTAATTGAACCTTATTTTATTGATTGAAAATCTAATTGCTTATTGGAAGGCAAAAGGAAATGTGTCCTCAAAGCCTGGAAAGGTTTGGTCAAATCACCTATGAGTGGAAGAGCAGCAAATTACCCTGTTCTGAAATACTTGCTTCGAGTCTCTGCTCCAGGGACTGCCCATGCTTCAGAAATACCTTTCTGTAGCCATTTGTTTTCTGTGTTATTAAATCTCTTCCTAAACTTCTGTGGCTGTGTTTAAATAAAATGCACCCAAATTCTGGCAAGTTCTTGCCTGTTTTGAATTTATGTCCAGTCTTGCTCCACTGATTTTTACATGTTTTCTCAGCCAAATTCTGTTCTTGTATCTGATGCTGAGAGTTGTTTTCTTTGACCTCAGTGGAATGCAGATGAGATCTATAGCTACAACTTACAAAAGATTCCCAGTCCTTTGTCCCCAGGCTTCAGCAGGACTTGAAGATCTGGGAAATTTTCAAACCAGTCCAAATTGCCTGAGAGCTTTGTGGCTAGAGAGCCCCAGGAGGGCTAGATCTGTGCCTGTGCGGTTCTTCTGGAGTGTTTCTGCCAGGCAGAACAACAATTCTTGTCTTTGATTTGAATAAATTGCTGTTTCAGTGTTGCTGGACCCTCGAAGCTGCTGCCAGCTTTGCTTATGTTGAGCTCTCCAGAATCCTGGAGGCTTTGCACTGCACAGATGTCCTGGCTCTGAGAGCTCCCTGTGCAGGCTGCACACACCAGGCTCTGGTCTTTTACACCCTGGGGACAGCCAGGTCCTGCAGGCTCAGGCAGGACACAGCACCCACTGCCACCCCTGGCGGTCCCTGCAGGGTGGCCGGGCTTGCCTGCCCCTCTGCTCTCATTCTGTTTGTGTTTTCTGCTCCCCAGGGCGTTTTCCTCTTTTCCCTGATCAAGTACACACCCTTGAAATACAACAATTCCTACGAGTACCCACCCTGGGGCTACATGCTGGGCTGGCTGATGGCACTCTCCTCCATGGTCTGCATTCCTCTCTATGCCATCTTCATCCTCCTGAAAACCAAAGGACCCCTGAAACAGGTACTGGGATTGTGGCCAGATGGTTCAGGATGGGCCCCAGGGAGGAGCTACACCGAGCATTTAAAAGTCTTCACAGCTCCCACCAAAATCAATGGAGAGCCACTCGGCAGAGGAAAGGAAAGGGTTTGATGGTGTTTTTCCCATTGCCACAGAAAGTGTCTGTGGTGTAAATTGCTGGCATCCGAGCAGCAGCAGCTCGGTGAGGATGCTGCAGAGCAGAGAATCGCTCACAGCCAGATGTGAGCTCAGAGGAGCAATAATGGTCACTGGGAGCAGCAGCAGCGAGCCTGCTCTCCTCACCCCTCGGCAGAGGGGAACAGGAGGCTGGGGTGGCTCTCCAGATGCCTTTGCCCCCAGCAATGGCTGTGGGTCACTGTTGGCCGTCAGTTTGCTCGTCAGCCTAATTAACAGTTGTTGTAATTAGCTGTTCTTCTCTCCTCAGCGGCTGATGCAGCTGCTGTCCCCGGCTCAGGACCTGCCGCAGCCCGGGAGGAAGCGCATGGGGCCGGCTGCTGTGAGCCCCGAGGGATGGTCCCCGCCAGTCCAGGAGGTGCTCAGCATCACAGAGAGAGAAACACACTTCTGAGGATGGGATGTTTCCTCCGTAACCCAGACTGGTTCGCTCTCTGCTTCCCAAAGCGGTTTCTTCTCCCTTCTCTCGCTCACAGCTGGGTCAGTTCCTCTCCTCGCAGCCAGCTGTTCGCACCTCTGGCAGCAGAGCTTCTCTGACACCCTGGGGACAGCTCCTCCTCCAGCACGCCTTTGTCAGAAGTGCCCTTCATTACTGACACCGCCTGCGGAGAGAAAAACAACATTGTAGCAAAAAAAAAGAAAAACAATGGAAAAAAAAAAAAAGAAAAAAAAGGGGGGGAAAGTGCATTCCTGTTGGGAGAAGGAAAAGAAACCACGGTGGTGAGGGTGGTGAGAGAGAGCAGAGATTAAAGGTGTGAAGGAACCAAGTTAGGGATGCAAAAGCATGAAATGATGGGGTGTCAGCTCAGGAAATAAGTAAGCTGGTTCAGTAGTACATGAGAAGCTGGAGGATGAGAAAGGAAAGTGCATTTCTAGGCCACCTCTGTACAGGGGAGAGAGCCAGGAACATGTCACAGGCAGTGACAAAAGGAGGCTGCAGTGCCAGCAGCCACAGCTTCAGCTGTCAATGCAATCCGAGCTGCTGCTGCTGCTGGATCTCAGGGCACCCTCAGCCTGGAAAAGGGGTGAGGAATGACCACCTAGGGGACTTGCTCTTGGTCAGAACTGCACAGCCCAGTGAAAACCTATCCAAGAGTGAAACCCATGAATATTTGACAATTCTGTCAGAAAATTCATGGGGTGCAAGAAAAGTCCCAGAGCAGCTGGTAAGAAAAAGAGCTGCAGCACAGCTGGGAAAATGAGACCCTGAGGAATTGCACGCCCACAAATTTAACTGCACTGCTGGGGCATTTTGTAGAGGGATTATTGAAGGAGTTGATGGGCCTGATCCTGTGCTGCAGAGTGGCTTTGGGAAGAGGGTGGGAGAGCGATTGCACTGCCTTGGCTTTGTGCAGATGACTGCTCAGGGGATAAGGAAAACATAATCGAGCGCAATAATCATCAGCTCAGGCAAGATAAAGCAAAGCTAATAGGTAGTATGGGCTCATTGGAAGCAGATCGTGTCGAATTAAAGTTTGGTTGTTGCCAGGGTAGTCAAAAATGTGAGGCAATGGGTGGGAGGAAATGTGCTCTGATGGCGGGTTTGGTGCAGTGCCAGATGAGTGTGTCCTGTGGAGGCTGGGGCTGTAGAGCTCCCTGCCAAACCCCGCTTCAATGCCTGTCCAAAATCCACAGCCAAACCCAGCAGAGGAGCCAGCGGCAGGAGCCCGGCCGCGATCGAGGGTCCACGCGCCGCTGCGGTTCTGGCACCTCCAGCCACGCCAGAGAGTGGCCATCAGAATGAATCCCAGATGCCACAGGCTCCTTTCCCTTGGTCCTTGTTCCAAGTAATTGCTTTTGCCCGTGCTGAGCGGAGATAAACCACGGGCGCCGGCAGCAAGCGCGGAACTCGGGCCTGGTCTGAGCTCGGCACCTGCTGCCATCGCTATGGGAACCTTATCTGCTGCAGCTGCCTCCAACTGCACAGCTAGCACAGGGCAAGCCTCCCCCGCTTCATTTCCTTCCCTTTAAAAACTACAGACTACAGACTGACGCTGAAATGAGCGCTGGAAGTCAAGTACCAGGATTTGTACCTCTCTGGGAAATTATCGTTTGAGATGTTTTCCTGTGGAAGGTGGAGGAAGCTGGCAGACCTGGTTCACATTCCCTGCAAAGAGCTGCAGCACCACATAGGACACCATTTATTGTGTCTGTATTTTGTAAAGAGCTGAATGTCATACTGCAAATAGCTGTGGGAAGAGCTGAGCACCCAGAGGCTCGCAGTCAGGGCTGGTGGTAAGCAGTTTGGTGATTTCTCCTCTCCCTCCCACCAGTGTTGCTCATCATTTGGTGGGGGAAGAACCTCCCCAATCTTGATTCTTGCACAGTCCTTGGTAGGACCTTTAGCCCCTTTGCTCCTGCTGCCATGCCTTTGAGATGTGAGCTAGTGTCGTGCTGCCAGAGGAGTAATGGAGATGTGCTCACTTCTTTTTCTGAGGCAGCTGAGTAACACTGAAAAAATCCTAGACAGAAACAAATAACTTTTCAGTCTGGAACACAGATGTGGTGCTGTGTTATTGACTGCATGAACCTGTTCCTCTTGCTCATGTATAATCTGACAATAGCATCCCACCTCTGCCAGGAAGCAACTTATTTTAATAAAGCTAGAGGAGGTATTGCTGTGCCCATTGAAAACAATCATAAAATTATCAGGACCAGGAAATTAATCCAGTCTCTTTGGATGGAATTGACAAAGTTTCAGGAATTTTAAGTCAAAGCTCAGTGACCCAGTGTCATTTAATTCCCTTTCCTTTAAAAACGAAACCACCCAGCTGGGGGAAGAGGGGGGAATGCCAGCAGAGGCTGACTTTTGCTACGTGACCCCAGCACAATCAGAGACTGAGCAGTGCTTTGTTAAATTTCTACAAATGTCTCAGGCACTCTGCAGGCACGTGACAGATCTGACAGGTCTCCACCAGCTCTGGAACTGGGCACCTCTGGAGACCTCTGAGTCTGATGGGAAAGAGCTCCTGTCCTGCACACCACCAGGAATACACTGCTGAAGGGCTGGTGTGCACAGGAGGGAGAGATTTGGGGTTTTTCCCCTGTAATTGTTAACAACATGCCAAGACATGATGCATTTGAGGCTGAAATCCAAGAGAAAATATGAGGTTTTCATACTGTGCTGCTCCTCCCAGCTGGAATTAAAACACTGTACAGAAGAAAGGACACCTATAAACACCTAACTACCACTTCTGGGTTTCCAGTTTGTTTGTTCTGCTTTGGTTTTTTGGTTTGTTGTTTTGGTTTGGTTTTTTTCTTTCATAAAAAGGCCATTTTCCACCCCTCTCTCTGGAAGGAAAAGACAGGAACAAAGTTTGTTAAAAAAGAAATCAAGCCAAAAGATCTTGTATTATCCTTCTCCACCTGTTGTTCCTGTCCCCCCCCACTCCAGCCTTCCCTCCCTTCTTCCTTTGACAGTGACAAATGGCAAAAAAAGAAGGAAATTATCATTGAAAACTTGTACTGGACAAAATTTGAAGAATGAAAGATAAACCAATCGAATATCACCAGGATTTCTTCAGCTTTTGTGACTCTGACCCTTAACACAGTTTTTTGGGAGAAGGAGAATTGCAGTGGGAATTCCTCTTGGCTCTCAAACGTTCTTCTGTCCCAGGGGCTCACAGCAGCGCTGGGGGAAAGGACAGTGAGTGCTGTGGTTTCCAGTGAGCTGGAGGTGCAGCCATGGCCTCCCCCAGCCCTCACCTCAGCCTTTGGGCTGGACAGAACCCATGTCCTTCCCCAGCCCTCACCTCAGCCTTTGGGCTGGACAGAACCCATGTCCTTCCCCAGCCCTCACCTCATCCTTTGGGCTGGACAGAACCCATGTCCTTCCCCAGCCCTCACCTCAGCCTTTGGGCTGGAGAGAGCCCATGGCCAGCACTGCCCTCCTGCAGGGACAACCACCACAGCTCCAGCCTGAGCAAAGCCCTCGGTTTCCCCTGTGCAGCTATTGCAGCTTGCAGAGGGTGGGAAGATGAAGAAGGGCAGCAGAGACTGAGCTGGAGGAAATGGAATCTCTCAGAAGAGCAGGGGTTTCTCAGATCTCAGGCTGTGTTTATGCTGTGTGAGTTGTGGGTACTCTGCAGTGTGGTTTGTGCTGGAGCCTGGGGACTTCCCTGAGATTTTGCTTCCCTGGTGTGTGCCAAGAGGGCTTTGCTCAGGAGCTTTCCCCACCTTGAGGAGAGGTGGGCCCTGCACAGGTAGAAATAAGGCCAGGGGACTCAGCTGCACAGGAAGGAGAGCAGCAGCCACAAAGGCATACAGAACACAGCAGCTCTTCCTGCAGTCCTTTGCTTCACCAGTGGTGTGTGCTTACATATGCTAACCTCTGACTAATTAGCTAAATTGTGTTTGAATGGGTTAAGAGGGGACTAATGCTCATCAAAGAAGATAAAACAGTAACTTATTTCAAAAATCAAAGATTAAAATTTAAGACTCAAGAGGCTGAGGAGATGTGCATGTGCTGTTATCCAGTTCCCTGTGCAGGGCTGCAGGAATGAGCTTGAGGTTTCAAAGTGAAAGACTTTACTCCTGGACCTGCCAAGGGAAGAGAAGAGATGTGCCTAACAGTGCATGGATGGACAGAGCAGAGGTTGATCTGCTTTGTTTTGTGTTTTAAACCCACCATGAGCCCTGCCCCATCAGCTGTTTGTGGAGCATGATCCTGGCTCTGGTTTCCATCCCTGACCCACAGCTGCAAAGGAGGATGTGTATTTTCAGAGCTGTCTGTTCTGGTTTGTCAAGCCTGAGCTTGGAAAGCTATGAGGAAAGGAAAGGGATTCCCAGGGAGAAATGCTTCCAATGCCTGTGCAAAGCCAGTTGTGGGCAATTCCATCCTGTCTTGGTGTTGGTGACGTGCCAAGACCATCCTGTTAAAAATGGCTTTTTGGTTTTTTCCTCCTGTTTTGTTTGGGTGTTTTTACAGGCTGTAGAATAGTTTCCTGCCCAGCCTGGGTTACAGCCAGGACGGGAGCTCTGGACTCGGATGGCTCCTTTGGACCAGGAGCGTGCTTACACTCAATCATTATTTGCCAATGACCACTAAACTTTTCCAAAACATGCTTTATGGAGTGTGCAGCTTTTGTTGTGGCATGCTGTAGATAGTGGTCTCTGGAGGAGGATGGGAGGCCATCTGGTGCCTTTCTGGACCTCGTGTTTCAACAGGACATGAAATAAGCTTCTTTTTCTCATGGAGAAATAAACCCTCCCTCCAGCATAAAAGCAACCTGTCCCTTTCTCATATCCTGGAGAAGGGCCATGGCTGCAACATGAGCTTCCTCCCCACCTTCTGCCTCTGAAGTGAGGATGGCCTGAGAGCTGGAGCTGGGTTTCTTGACTGAGCTCTCCAGAAGCAGAGCTCTTTATGCTGGAATGCTCCACGCTCGTGGGTGCAGGAGCTGCTGCAGAGAAATGTCACCAGTGGCAGGGCACAGCAGTGTAAATCAGTAACCCTGGCTGGGCTGGCGTGCTGGAGGCAGCCTGGCACTGGGAACTGGCCTGGTGCTGGGCTCACAACTCTGGGGAGATCATGGCACTGATAGGTTTTGTGCAGTGCTTTTGGATGAGCTTTTAATTCCCCAGGCAGGTGAGGTGGCTCCCCTTGGCACTGGTGGGATGCAGACATCACTCTGGGAACAGGGAGGTGCTGCTGGGGTTCTCTCTTCATGCTCCACACAGGAGGATCCTGTCTCCTGTGTGTCCATCCCTCATCACCAGCACTGGATCCTGTCTCCTGTGTGTCCACCCCTCACCACCAGCACTGGATCCTGTCTCCTGTGTGTCCATCCCTCACCACCAGCACTGGATCCTGTCTCCTGTGTGTCCATCCCTCATCACCAGCACTGGGCTCTCCCACCCCAAAAATGCCTTTGCAGGGTGCAGCTTTACACCTGCTTTACACCTTAGCAAAAGCATTAATTACCAGCTGAGTAAAAACCCCGGAGGCTCAGGAGAAACCTCCAGTTGTCCTGTCCCATAAATCTCCAGGATTTATGTCCTGTCCCATAAATCTCCAGGATTTATGTCCTGTCCCAGGAATATCCTTGTCCAGGAGCCCAAGCATGCGAGTCTGTCTCCACACAGACACACAGTGTGGGCAGGCACAGTTAGTTTTTTCAGAACCTCTGGGTGAAGGATATTCATGCACTTTCAGAACCTATTCATTTTAGTGTTTAAGCCAAGAAAATTATGGGAATTAATTTTTTTTTCTTTTTAGGAATTACCTGCCGTAATCAGATTTCAAAATTTATTTAGTGCCTATTTTTTTTTAATATGACCCCAACTCCAGCCTCTTTTGCAGTAGAAGACAGGGTGGCATTTCCCTTGCATTTGGGAATTTCTGAGCTCAGTCTCACTTTCCTGTTTCTATGGTCAAGGGAGGCAGCAGCAAAACCTTTGCTGTGTGGCCTTGGGGTACCTGTGAGGATTCATGTGAAGAGGAGAAAGGCGAAAGGGGGCTGATCCCTTCTGGGAAGCTGGAGGCTCAGAACATGTCAGACCAGTGTCTCCAGGTGGGTGGGTGTGTTGGCACTGTGCTGTGATGGGTTTTGCCTTAATGAGGTGGTTTCTGTGACACTGTGACATTGGGACACTGTGACATGTTACTGTGGCACCACTGCTGGATAAATGTGTTGCTGTCAGCCTTTGCAGTTTCTGGGGCCCTGGGCTCCTACTATAATTAGAGGTAATTTGTAATCTTGGTAAAACTCTCCAAACAGTGTTTCCCTCTCTGGAAGGAAGGGAAGGGTGTCTCAGTGACCGTGGGCAGAGGTGTCAGCAGCACCTTCTGGCTGCTGTGGCCAGAGTCCCTTGGGCAGGCTGACGTGGGACACATCGAGCGATGGCAAAGCAATTTCCCAGCACCCAATCCTATCAATAGATGCAATTTCCCTGAGGGTGGGGGTGTGTGGAGCTCGATTGCTGCAGCCAGGGGCTGGTTCTGGTTGTGTGCATCACACAGCCGAGCAGCAGCAGGGCTGCAGGCTGGAGAGATTTCCCCTCACAGCCAAGGCTCTGGCCCTTGCCATGCTGTAATAAATGAGGTTGTCCCTGTGTGCACTCCCCAGAGCAGCCAGCCCTTTGCTCTTCCTTATCCCCAGGGCCTGTGCACTTTCCATGATGGAGCACCTGTGCTGGACAGTGGTGAGGCTGCCTCTGTCAGTAACCCTCATCTGCATCCCATACCCACACCCTTCTTCTTTTCCCTCTGCACCCATGACACGTTTCCCACACTCTGTGCTCTTGAGGTCAAACACAGACGTGCAATAAGGCTTCTCCCTGTAGCCTTCCACAAAAAGCCTCTCTGTAGCTTCCCAGAGCATTGGGAAGTGGCATAAGGTCTGTCAGTGTGACTGTGCTGATGCTGATTTAAAGCATCTACCTCAGAGCTTTTATTAGCATAAGCCTCTTAATAAAGAGGGGAAAAAAATCATAATAGTTACACCAATGATGTAACCTAGGGACACATTTACTTTAAAGTTAGGCTGGTTTCACAAAGTATGTGATTTCAGTTAAATCTTCCAAAGCATGTGAGGACACTTCTATTTATGTTCCATTCACACTAATTTTAATTTATATGAAGTCCATCAGGATCAAGTTTGAGCTAAGTTGAACATGGTGCTACTGCTCACACTGTTTTTGATGGATTAGAAGCAGTAGAGCTAAATCTTTCCAGTCCCTTGTGAGTCCCTTGCAGTTCCACTGACAGAAAGATGATCAGGTTTTTTAACTACATTTATCAAAACAGCCTGCAGGCTCAGGCACACTTTCATCAGTGTGACTACGTCCACTTATCACCCAAATGGTCTTTAAGATGGAATAATCATGTTCAGAGTGGGCTGCTCTGGTTTAATTTGGCCTAATTTGTTTTGATTTAGATGGGCAGCACTGGCTGGGTAGACAGGACCTAAGAGAACACCCTGCAGTGGGTGGCTGCTGCTGTTACCCAGGTCCTGCCAGGACCCTTCCCTGCAGAAACCCCAAGGCTGGTGTCTGTGACAGCTCTCACTTTCTGCTTCCTTCTGCTCCTTGTTGCTGGCTTGGAGAACAACCAGCAATCAGCCTGGGAGCTGGCAGGAGGGCACTGCTAATTAAACCTCATGTTTGGAAGGGTCACTCAGGTCTGGCTGTGCCCACCAGGAAACAGAATCTGCTGCAGTGAGGTGAGGTGCTGCAGTGAGATGCTGCAGTG